AGCGACTCTGCAGCATTGCTGCCCTCCTTCTACCCGGAGCTGCCCCAAGCCAGCTCGAGAAAAATGACAGTAATCATTTTCATGGAAAACTTCTGGGTCATTTCCTCGTGTAATCTCACTTTATGATGATGTTTCGTATATTACTTAATAGGGTTTTTTTAAAAATCGTAGTTTCTTACATATGGTGTTGTGTGAGATTTATTTTTTTAAACATCACTATAATGAAGGCAGGAAATGATCACTGAAACAGGCCTTTTGATGGCTTAAAGCAAATTAGATGAACTATGATGAAAGTCTTCTTAGGTTGGAAACACTAAAAAAACCCCAACACCCAAGCTCCCAAGATTGTTCAGGTTGTCATGATGATATAGTGCTGAATGTAGCAAATTAGACATACCAGTAATGTTCTCTGGTTTTATATCTGCACTGCAAATTAAAAAGAGAGATCTCCACTGTTCTCTAATTACTACTGTTACTGTTCTAAGCTCAGATTGCACCTTTTCAGTACATGGCATTGTAATGAAAGATGATGATGCTGAGGAGGAAGCTGCTCCCTGCTGTTCTCTGTGCTGAGGGTGATTGAATCCCATGATCAGTGCCTGAGTGGAGGTGGGGCTGTGACACCTCCCTCCTTCAGCACCTGAGCAAAGGGCAGGCAGCTCTTTTTCCTTTCCCCATGGCCTGGCAGAGCTTGGTGGGCAGAGAGAGGATGCAGAGAGATGTTGCAGCTGAGAGAACTTTTTTTTCAGTGCTCAGTGGCATTAAACACTCAAAATGAATGATGTTAAATGGCTCCTGACCTTACCAGTGGGCAGGGAAGTGGTGCTTTCAAGCCATTGAAACCTGAGGGCTGAATTCCCCCACTCTTCCTGCCCTTCAGTAGGAAGTTATTCTTACTCCTAATTTGTTTTAATCATGTCATTCCAGGTATCACCATGTGTAGAAGCAATGGTACCTGGCTGTTGGCAACCTTTTGCTGCTTCTGAAAAACAAATAACAACAGTGCCATGAGCAAAGCAGACTAGAAATTACCTGCTCCTGGGCTGTCCAAATCAGATAAATCTTCTAGTTTTATCTTTAAATGCAGATAATGTGTGCAATTAAAAGAGGAAAAGCTCCCTGCAGGCTATCCCTGTATCAGATGATGAGAAATCTGACACGGGTTCACAGGTTTTGGTGGTGTTGGGGTGGTGCTGAGGGGATTGGTGTCACAGGTTAAAGACAGGCCTTGCAGAGAAGACAGCCATAAGGAAATAGTAACTGAAAAGGAGAAAGAAGATCAGGGCATGTTCAAATACATAGAATTTAGTGGATTTTTCACTGAACTTTCCAAAACTGTCCCCTGATATGAGTTAAAGATTGCCCAAAATCTGAAAACTTCTCTGGTTTTCACAACCAATCTGCTTCTGAACCAGCTTCTCTGAAGGTGTTTCACCGACAGAGTCTTCTATTCTATCCATCTGACAGCTCTCCACCTTCAAGGGTACTCTGAAATTTAGAAGGGCTGATCAGAGGAAGTAATTATTTGTCTTTTAGCATTCTTTATGGTTTGGATAGATCAGCTGTGCTCTTGGTGGTACACAAATGAAGTTACAAATATTTAAGGGTTTATGCTGGATTTTTTTTTAAGTGTTTTGTCTGGTAACTCATTTCTAAACTCCAGTCTAGTTTAAAAAGCCTGTTTTCACAGATAAGGCATTTAATATACTTGTTTGTGGGCTGCCTCAGTCATCCCAGTATAACATCGTTGTTTGCAGTTCTCCAGTGGGTGAAGGTGTTGCTCCTCACACTTTGAACCTTTGTTCTGCTGAGATCTCACACAGGAGCGTAAATCTGGAAAGAATTTTATGCCTTCTCAAGTCAAGACTCCAACAAGCAAAGTGCTCTGCTCTTCATTTCTTTTTTTAAATGCTTGAACACTTGAACAAAGTTGGGGCTTTGCTCTATTGGGTCAAAGCTGCACAGCATAGGAGGAGTTTCATCCACAGCTCCCGGTCTGCTGGGCAGCACTTTTTGTACATCAGCTCCACCCTGACTACATGGATCCAACTTCCTAGGGCCAGCTTTGGATTGCTTGGAATCACTGAATGAGCTCTTTGATCTAAAACTAGCGCTGGAAAGAATTACTGTCTTCATGTCCTTGCAGCCGCATTCCGTACACTGCTGAGTGATCTGAAGGCTTTTAATAATCTACCTATATAATTTTTTTTAATAGGCAGGAATGTCTCTTTTTTCCACTTGAATACCCTGATGGTTGAAGGAGTTCTGAGAGAGTGTTTGTGTCTGACTTCAGGGCTTTTTATGGCTCTGTGCCTTCCTTGGGGGTGAAAGCACAGACCCAAGAATAGTGGTCTATCCCAGTGTATATCCTCAGGAAAGAGCAGTTACAAGTAAGTAATTTTCTATTCCTGGTTGGGAATTGGATATTCTTTTTATACTAGACACAGTAGTCTGTACAACAGCCTTGCAAGAGAAGAGTTGCATTCCTAGGCGTTTAAGCACAACGATTTATAAAACATGCATTTTGCACAGTAGCTTGTCAGCAGGTACTTCCTATGAGAATCTCTTTGTGCACCAAAGGTACTTGCTGACAAACCAAGTTTTTCTACCCTAGACTGGTGTAGACACTTCTGCTCTGGTTTGCATCTCTGTAGAAAAATTTATTTGCACCACTCCATTTAGAAAATTATGACCTGCTGCAGTGTTTCAAATATGGTTACGTGGTTTTGTTTATTGTTTCTTAGGAACCAGTGGGGGAAAATAGAAGTAGAGGAAAAACGACTTGAAGTGGCTGAGGTTGCTGCTAACAAGTACTCTTTCAATCCAGAGGTGAGAGTGGTGAAGCTTTGATTCAGGATCAAGTTAAAGAAGGCACCAGACAAACATCATGCTTTAATTATTCATAGGGATACCTGTTTGCTGAATTCAAGGTTTAAAGTTTACTGCACGTAAGGAACCAGCCTTTATTGGCTGATGAACATTTCCTAGGTTTTATCTGGTAAAACTCCTCCTGAAGGTATTAGAAAGAAATCACTGATGAGTTGTAGGGTCTCTTGTAATTTAGTAAAAATAGTGTTCTGAAAATTCAGTTCAGCTGTGTTAGTAATTCCATGGATCAGTTCTAGAAGACTGACCTTTAAACTGCATTACAGTTTAGCACAGAAATGGCTATTAGATTCAAAATTACTTTTTTATTTCAGAAATTCATATTTTATTAAAGCACACAGGTCAATATTGCACATTCTTAGACCTCAAAAACCTGAAGTTGAAAGGGCTGTTCCTTTGGGTGTTGTGAGGAGCTGCACAAATGACTGTTGTTGAAGATCTAACTTACATCCAGGGTTTCAGCCTTTGCCCGGTGTGACCTTAACTTACAATTTAAAATATTGAAAGGCTTGGAGGTGATTTTAGTTAAAATGCCACTTGTGGGTCGGCACAGGACAGTTTGTGTGGTGAGTCTGTTCATCCAAGACCACCCAAGTGAATTTGCTGCTTGATACATTCTTGGGCCTGTCATACAGCTGTGCAGTTCCAGACCAGGCTGGGGCTCTATCCCAAAGCAATTCAGGCCTTGGAAATATAAAGAAAATGTTGGAATTAAGACACAATTTAATTTCTCTGTATGCATTTAACAATTACCAGAATCCAGCAAAAATTTTAATTTTTCATCATGTGTCATCTTTGTTAGCTTATTTAAAATCTGTTCCATCTCTTTTTCTTTAGAATAAAAATAAGTGCCAGGCAGCTGATTTGAGTGTAGTTTTTATTAAAAAAAAATTAGTAAAACATAAACAAAAGAGAAAGGATGGTGCATTTGCAGATATAAAAATTGACAAGTAACATTAACTTTAAATTCTTTTTTGATAGTTTTCCTTAAGAAAGAAAGCCCAAATGTCAGCCTGACTTCAGCATCCAGTAGTATCTCACCTATCACAACTCAGTATTTAATTTCCTTTTTTAACTGACTCAAAGTAGCCTCTCTTGTGTGGGTGAGGATTTCTGTATGGGTCCAACAGCGATCAGCAATGTGCTCTTCCATACTTCCAAGGTGCATAATAAAGGGGCTTCTTTATTTTTTTTTATTGAGAATTACTTTTTCTGGACACCTCGGGACACTTGGGAATTGCCTCACAGGATACCTTGGACTGCACCCCATTCCCCTACCCCAGTTCCTTATCTCCCAGTGGATTGCAATTTATCCATAATTTTTAATTACCTAATGCATGCAAACCCACTGCACATGCACAGCATGCAGTCAGAATTCTGTGAAATTGGTGCAGATGTTCTCTGGAAACCCCAAGGGTACTTCTAAGCCAGGGCTGGTTCAACAACAAATAGAAGCTTTCATCTCCTTTGTTTTTTTCAGTTCCATAGCTGCTCAGAAGAAAAAATGTTGCAGGCATTTTGATCAATGCACAAAGTTGGGAGTTTTAATTCCCTTACATAAAATTGCTGACCTGGTTTGTGTTCCCTTAAAAAATGAGAAGCAATTGAAAAACACATTGTGTTCTGTGCTCTAAACCCAGCTATGTCTGTGGAGCTTTTCCTATTATTTTGGATTTTACAGATGTCAGTCTCCTTGTTTGGAGCCTTACTGAAAATTTTTCTGGGTTGGGACTTGTAAAAGGTTTCTCTCCCATGCGTAATGTTTTGTAGTTTGTAGCAGTCATTCCTTTAATCTAGGCCATTGAACGGGCTCTTCTTCCTGTCTGGTGCTTAATGAAGCTCACGGTTGCTCAACTTCCTGAGAGATCTCTGTCAAACTTGAACTCAGCCATCATTTCAAGCTGTTGGGCCACCTGCACGCCCAGGAATGCGCAGAAGGATCACGTCAGACCTGTTTGCGTGCTGGTGAGGTGGCACAGTGCTGTCCCACGTGATGACCACCTCAGGAAATATTTGGTGATGAAAACGGAACCCTGAGACTGCACATACCTTCTCTATGACAAGCTCTCCTGAGTTAATGCTGTAATGTTTATTTTCCATTTGATCACTTTCAGACTGATTCACTGGAACCAGAGAGGAGGGAAATGGGAATGGACCTGAGGCCTCTTAGAACAGCTGTAGCTCAGGCAAGGTAAAGGAACCCAGAGCACTCAGAAATGGGCCAGGCAAGGCTAAAGGAATCTTTGGTTCTGCAGTGGCAGCAGTTGAATTATAGGCAAAACAATTTACTGTATGAACAGCTTAGAAAAGGTAGTTTAAAATTCTGTCTTTATAGGCTTTATATATACTGAAAATGTTGACAACTCTGTAGGAGGAATGATTGTTTGATAGCTCCATCTGTATCAACATTGTATTGTTTTAGTGTTCTTTATAAAGGAGCTTTTTACCTCTTGGCAGTCTCTTGCATGACTTGGTGCTGTGCCAAGATTTATAATTAAGTAGGCAGAACTGAGCAGTGTTAGGACGTATAATGTCCATTATGTGAGAGAAAATCACTGTGAAAATATCTGCCACCATTATAGAAACCCCTGCATGGACTCATTTGGAAGATGCTGAATCTGAATAGATTTTTGTGCCACTTATTTTGCTAAGTACTGAGCTGTTATGATAGGGCATGGATTTGGGATCCTGTGTACCTTTCAGCCAGCTGAGTTTGGACAGCAACCATTATTTTATGGGAATGACCACAGAAAGTAGCTGGTTGTATATTCTTTTTCTAGAAAGTATCTCCTATTGCCACCAGACACAACAAACTTCTGGCCCAGCAGGACGTTTCTTATGGTCTCGTTTAGATGAATACATTCACAAACACTATGATGAGAGGGGGGAATACAGGAAGGCCTATTGGGAATAGTCCTTGGCAGAGCACACTCATACTTAGGCACTCATGCTCTTAAGTGTACTGAGGCTGTGTTGTCACCCATGTTTCACCATTGTCACTGTGTGGTGGTGACAGTACTGAGGTTTCACTCTGCTTTTCTGTTGCACTCACACATTCTGATTGCACTCCAAACTTGCCTACAGAGACCATTCCCTCTGTTCTCCCAGCATTAGCTTAAGCAGTTGCTAAACTGCACAAAAAAGCTTTCAGTAGGTGACTCCAGGGTTTTCTGAATTTTTCTGGAACCTTCTAACTTTGTTGAGATGTGAGCATTAAGCTAAGGAAAGAGATTCATTTGCAACCAAAGACCAAACAGTAGCACAAAAAAAAAGATGATTTACATCTGGCAAGGTTTAGTTACAGCCTGCTGCAAATAAAACTGACAAATTACCCCTGCCAGCCCCAGCAGGGTACAAATTACACGAGTGTTTACAAGCTTCTGAGACTTTAAGTCTTTGAAGAGCATTCACTAGAGAAAAATAGTTGAATCAAAACAAGCAGCAATAAGACAGACATCTATATAAAAACTTAATAATTGGGTTAAGTCTAAGCAAATGTGGCAGTCAAGACAACGTGTGAACTGTATCAGCATATGTTGAAGGCAAATTAGGCTCTTTCATTGTTTGACTGAGATTAACTGTGTAAAAGGTAAGGAAGTTAAAGTAGCTTCTTTGCATGTACTCCTGTAGAGGAATCAGAACTTTAGATTTTGCAGTAATGTAGTGTTTAAATCTTCCAAAATTTTTCCATCAGAGCAGTTCCTAAATTTTGTACTAGTTACTTGTTATATCTTTCCCCCTAACTATTTTTATTATTCACTTACTCAGTTGATCCAGTTTTAGTGACTTTTCACTTGATAAACTTTTCTGAAAATGAACTGTAAACAAAATAATAAATCCTATGTATTTTGAAGGTTGGATAAGCCATTTTGGTAAAGCATGACTAGTTTTTGCCATAAATGCACTGTTAGTTATGTTTGCCTGCAGTCATTACTCATTGCTAAATTTCAGTGGGATTGTCTCCTTGAGATCAAGTTAAAGTTCTTTTGATGATAACCTGCCAAAGATCAGTTTACTTCTTGATCTACGAGTTGCAGGTGCTTGGAGCTTGCTTTTGGTTGCTTTGCATTCTTTATTTTCAGATGAGTAGGATGAGAAATACTTGCAGAGATGGAAATTACTGTCACCATTGGTACTAAAAGACTTGCTCAGTTTAAATTTTAACACATTGATTTGCAGACATTCAGATGAATGCTGGTCCAACTGGACCACTCATTTCAATACAAGTTACAGTTTGGACAAATAAAATGTTGTTTTATTAGTAGGTTACAATGAGGGAGTCTTGATTTGATACTTGGGAAATGTGCTTTTTGCGTACCTTGGCCAACCTTGAGGTGTTCAGGATCAGCCGAGCTTTTCCCCAGCATTGAAATTCTCTCCAATTCAGTAAATTGAGTGAATTTCTAATCCTATAATTGTAGAAACCTCTGAAATTAAATTTGATTTTATAAATATCTAGATAGTCTTCAAGATTATAATGAGTAACCTGATCTTTTGTAGAAGGTGGTGTTTTGGACCCTTTGTGAGGGACTAAATCAGAAGGAATCAGGGGCATGAAAAGTCCTTTTTTTCAAAGTTAGCTTTTTCATGTGCTAAAGAAGCTCCCTGTAGCATTACAGTTGGACAAACGGAAGCTGAGCATGATTTGTAGATGCCAAAAGAATTGGCATGGATGGCAGAGTGTGGATGAAGATTGCCCAGTTCCTAAAAGTAAAAATTATTTTTTTATATTTAGGATGTATTTTTCCTATGTTTTTAATTTTTTTAATGTTATTACCACTATCTTATGCTTTTAGGGATGTTAGTTTGATAAATCTTACAATGCTCAGCACTCAAGTATGTGCAAGCACTGCCTTATTCACCTCTGCAGCACTGCTAGGTATGAGCTGGATAAATATTATAACTCTCAGGGATAAAAGATGGAAGTCACATTGGGGATGGAAGATTAATTGTCACTGGAACAGCTGCAATTGGAACTTGGGTGTCTCAGGTAAGGAAACACCTTCAGTGATGTCTCTGTTTCTCTGGTTTTTATTTCTAGTTTCAAAATTGGCCTTACTAAATTCGAATCTCCAGGGAAAGATTCCTTGTGAGATCCAGCCCATTACGCCAGGTGAGTGCATTTATTTCCTCTAACAGATGGAGTGTTTAGCCTACTTTTTACTGGGGACATTTGTTTCCTGTGCCACGTTATGATAAATGCAGATTTGCCTTCCACTGAATTTTTAATGGCAATGCAATCTGCAGAATTGTGTTAAATGTATATTTTTAACGATGTGAATAGATTTGATCCTAATGTGTTTGGATGTCACATCTTTTCCCTGAGTGATTACACCCCCTGATTTTAGTCTCTCATCCCTGCTCACCTCCAGGAGCCAGTACTGCTAAAGGACCAAGATTATAGTCCTTTTGTACTTGATCAGCAAAATTGTCTGTGAAGTTCTGCTCAGTTGTACCTGTACCACACCCCCAGAGGATACCAGTGCTGTGAAATCGTTCTTGTATCTCTAATCTGGCTTCTGAAACGGATGGAGGAGGAAGAAAGGGAGGACTTTAAGTTGTGCTGCTGCACACATAAATGTATATTTACACTTACAAAACAGTAAATTATATTTTTACCCGTTTGTTGAAGATCAGAAATGTAACGTTTTCAGGGCCTTATCAAAGCTGCTCAGTGCACTCAGAAGAAATGTGCCTTTTTGCTCTCGTGTGGTCACTTTAATGCTGGTTTCTGGAAAGCACAGTTGTCTGTCCCTGTCATGTCCTGTCCTAACCATCATTCTTTGCACTGTAGTCCCAGTAGGAATCCTGTAACACACCTAATATAGTTTATTCTACTTACTGTGGCAATTAAATCACGAATCCTACATATTTTTTACTATTTAAGAAGTGAAGCATGGTATGAGCTACAATGGCCATGGAGAAATCTGCTCGAGAAAAGTCAGTGGAACAGATTTTTTAAATATAAACTCACTTTCTCTAATGCTTTCTGAAGTGTGCAGTATCCAAATGGCCCAGTATGCAGAAAATTATCCAACAGACTTAATATCTGGACATCAAAGGTCACATTTAACTGGGTTTTTAAAAATTTTTATTGTGCTGTATAAGCCTGGAAATTCCTTTAGAGTCATGGTATGACCTATTCACAATTAAAATGTGGTAGACACTCATCTTGACTTGTTTGCAGAGTGTTCCTGTGGCAAAGCCTGTGTTTGGGGAAAAAAAAAAAGGTAAGAAGAGCAAAGAAATCAAACCCACAGACTTTCTAACCAAATATTGAAATAGGAAGTTGCAGGAGAATATAATTTCAGGTGACAATGACTCTGCTGCTGGTTTGAATCAAAGGCCATGTCAGCAATGCTTCTTGTAACAATTTCAGACTATAAAAAAGGAGCTTTTCTTTTTTGGGGGGGAGGGGGAAGAAGCAGAATGGAAAATGCAAGAAATGAAGAAGAAAACTGGAGTTTTCTTCTCCAGGGCAGCAACTTTTAATCTCAATTAAAGCAGTGAGTCTAGCAGAGCAGCATGTTAATACATACTACAGGGAGTCAGTGAATACAAACGACCTTAGTGGCTTTGGGTTTTGCTGCTTTTCCTCCTGATTGAAAAGGACGCCCAGCAGTTGTCTTAATTGGATGTTAATTGATACATATTCACAGGAAGTAGTGTCTGTGATCTTGCAGCTTGTTTGTATGGAAGAGTGTAATGGAACAAAGCGTGAGGAAGTTTTTTAATGATCACAGTGACATAGCAGAGTAGTAGGAATTTTTAAACTATCTCAGAAATGTTGAAGTCATTACCAGACCAGACATAGCTGCATTCATGAAGCTTTAATATTCTGCCTTACATTAAAAACGTAATTAAACTGAAGATAAACCTTGTAATTATGACCTCATACCTCCTGTCAGTGATACTCTCTTACACTTTCTGGAGTCCTCATGATGATATAAAAGAGGATGATGACAGAACGTAGAGCTGGCTCAAACTACTCATCTTTCAAATCTACCAGTCACTTGTCCCAAGTAAGAGGTCTTATCCGTGCTTTCCTGCTGATGAGTTTCCCCCAGTCACTCCAGGACAACCTGTCCCCTCTCAGGTATTCTTGTACCTACACACAGCACTGAAACTTCTTTAGGAATTTGCTCATCTTTGTGCAGTCTGAAATGAAACACCATTTGGGAAATCTGCAGA